CTTCTGTAATTAAGGGCAGTGAGAGGCAGGTTGTAATGTAAAGAAGAACTAAAGCTGCTAATAAGCTTTTAAAGAGAGGAGGGCTAAGCTGGAGATGCAATGAGATTAGAGTATCAATGCCAGCATGATAGTAGGGTAATGTGGTGTATTCCATAACAAGGTGAGCTAAATGTGAGCCTGAATTCCTTCCTTCCTGTTGCAAGAGGAGTTTTAAGTCCTTTAAGAAGGCCCGTTTGGTTTTCCTGGGCATATTTAAACTAAACAACAGAGGAGAGATTTAGATGGGATGTTGGGAAGGAATTCCTCCCTGTGAGGGTGGGCAGGCCCTGGCACAGGTTACCCAGAGAAGCTGTGGCTGCCCCTGGATCCCTGGAAATGTCCAAGGCCAGGTTGGACAGGGTTTGGAGCAACCTGGGCTAGTGGATGGTTTCCCTGCCCATGGCAGGGGGTGGAATGAGATGGGCTTTAAGGTCCTTTCCAGCCCCAAACAGTCTGGAATTCTGTGATTCCATGTGCACAGGGAAGCTGTCTCCTGTTTAATACTTCACACGTTCACTCTGTGATGCTGTGAGTGCATGTAATGCTCAGTGAGTGGCACAGAAAAGGAAGGACTAAGGAGAGAAATCCAACTAAATGTTTTATTTTGGGAGCAGTGGAGTAACTTTCCCAGTGCTGAAGCAAATACATTTCAGTGTGTTTACCAAGAAGCTGAGATATGTGAGTAGCTTGGGGAATAAACACTGAGTGTGGTGCTCTGTTATCACAGCCCTGAGCTCTGTGCCTGTGAGAGACATTAATTATCTGTGTTTCCCACAGGGCCCAGTCACGGTCAAAGTCCAGGTTCCCAACATGCAGGACAAGACGGAATGGAAGCTGAACGGCCAAGTGCTGGTGTTCACCCTGCCCCTCTCAGACCAGGCACGTAGCTCATTAACCTGCCCTGCTCCCCGTGCTCCCTGTGGGAGCAGCAGGAGCCCTGCATGGCAGGGTGGGAGCTCTGCCTGCTCCCAGCTCCAGCCCTGTGGGGCTGCGTGGCTGGGGAGCAGGAGTGGCTGTGCAGCAGGACACAAGCACTGAGAGAGCCCTTTGATGTCCCCAGGTGTCTGTTATAAAGGTTAAGATCCACGAGGCCACAGGGATGCCAGCTGGGAAGCAGAAGCTGCAGTATGAGGTGGGTATAAGCCCTTCAGATTCAGTTTGTTACCTTAGTGTTCTCTCACACACAAAACTTCCTGCAAAGAAAAATCGCGGTGTGCAATTTAATGCACACTGGGAATAGCAGAGGGAATGTTTTTGCTGCCTGCACAGCACACCTGGTGACAGGATTGCTTGCTGTTACAGCAGGACAGGCTTTCAGTAGGTGACATCAGCAGATCTTCATGTTGTTGCTGCTGCACGAGTCCTCCAAACTTGATGTGGCTTTCTCTGAAACGAGCCTGTTGTTTTATGAGGGTTTTTGTGACATTTAGCTGCAGCAGCCTGCTCCCACAGCTCTGCCGTGCGCTCCGGGAGGTGGGCGAGCCTTGGAACCCTGGCAGCTCTGAGCAGGCTCTCTCCAAAACACGGCAGGGACGAGCTCACTCTCACTCTCTCTCTTCCTCCCGAGGCTGGAGCTGTCAGAAAGGCCCCGTTCCTTTTTAATGACTTGTTTCCAGTCATGCATGTGCCCAGGCAGGCACAACCTGCTGCCTAAGCAGTGAACTTTGTGCACTTATCTCCTCAAGAGTTCATCTGTGGGCAGATACTCTGTTAACCCTTAACGAGAAAGGAAGCTGAGCTGGTTATTTTTAAGGAGAAAAAAAAAAAAAAAAGGTGTGTGGAGTAGAGCCTGAGTAACTTCACTTGTGGTGACTCCTGATCTCTGTGTTGTAGGAGCCACACTGTCTTTGTTGGCTGTGCTCATGCATTGTTCCACTGGTCTAGTTGAAGGTCCCTTCCAACCCAAACCATTCCAGGATTCTATACCTGACTCCTCCGGTGTCCATCCTGGCCACCTGGATCTCTCCAGGGTCTTCAGAACCTGCAGTGTTCTGTTCCCAGCATACAGCCAGGAAAGCTCCATCTGGGTGGGATTTTGTGGGAAAGGTTGCTGCTCTGACTTCTTTTTGGTGTGGTTTTTTTTTTTTTCCTTTTCTCCTCCCCTCAGGGCATCTTCATCAAGGATTCCAACTCTCTGGCTTATTACAACATGACGAGTGGCTCTCTGATTCACCTGGCACTCAAAGAGAGAGGAGGCAGGAAGAAATAGGAGCCGTGGAGCGCTGAGATGTAATGTGTCCGTGTTGTAACCCCGACCCTCCCAACCCTTCTCCCACTCCAGCCTTTTCAGGGCTGCACCCACTGCCCCCAGCTCTAGTTTGAACCCCAGTTCAGGTTGTTGCTGAGGGAGGGGAAGCTGATGGAGCCTGAACTGTGTCAGTGTAGTGAGTAGTGTGTAGCGATCGATGCTTTGCTCGAGTGCCGGCTCTCCCTTGAATCCCCTCGGGAAGCAACATCAAGGTCATGCCCAGCTTAGTCTAGATCCATCTTTGGGGGATTTACACAGGCCAGGAGCATCATCTGTCTGCCCTCAGCACTCGCTGCTTCATTTAACGTCCTGCTAATTGAAAACTTCTCCACACACTTACTAAACTCCTTGTTCTTGTTCTTTCCCTGTCTCGGGTCTCGCGCTGACCCTGACTTGGGAATTTTTCCTCCCTCGGCTTTACTGTGCGTGGCTGTTCTGTGATAAAGGAGATCTGGGTCTGCTCTGGACAGCCTGTGATTTGTTTTAATAAACATGCAGCTCTCCCTCCTTGGATTTGGGGTTTTTAATAGAGATGTGCCTGGTTTCGCAGCACTCGGATGGGGAAATATGTTGGATTTGTAATTAAGCAGTTTACGATAGGAAATCCTCTTATTTTCTAGGAAAAGCTGCAAGAAAATGGGTTTGTTGAAGTTTCTGTGGTCTTTCTCAGTCATTCCTGAGTGTGAGCCATGCCTGTGTGTGAGGGGGGAAAAAATACTCTGAACTTAGCAAGAATTTTATTGGAAAAAGTGATTTACACTTATATCCTGCAGCTGGAATCTCTTGGATCTGGAGAGCACATGTGTCCGGAAAACAGATGATTCCTGGGCCTTCAGTCAGAGCTGTTTGATAGAAACACAACACAGCAAAGTTAGTCCATGTAATCTGGTGCCCAGGTAGAGGAGGTGGGTGTCTGGGATTTGGGTACCTGTGGCTTTTTGGGAGAACCCAAAGCCATGGATTTATTATTATATATTTTTAGCAGTGGTCAGGCAGTGCAGAGACATCCTGTTTACCTTATCCTGTGCTTAGGGAGAGAGGGATGAAGCAGGAGGGAAGAGCCAGCATCCTCCTGGTCCCGGTGTGCTCCTCTGGGATCCAGAGGAAGCCCTGTGGCTGTGGGGAAGGGGCTGGCACTGGCCCAGCCCAGGTGGCCCAGCTGTTGTCCCTGACAGGTCCCCACGTGTCCCTGGCACAGCCTGCTCCCATCCCTGCTGCAGGACTCCAAACTGGGAGAACAGGGACAGGTTGGAAGGGGGTGGGTGGTGGATGCGGGGTGCTCCTGCCCCACAGGAAAGTGGGATAATCACTTCCCTTTTGCTTTAAAAGCCAGACAATAGGTACAGCCCAGGAGAAAACACTCGGCAGCCAGTGGGGTTTTCCAGAGCCGGTACTAAAAAAACTGCCAAGAGAGCTTCAAAATGGAGAAGTTGTGTGTTTGTATCCGGGGCTGGGGCTGTGCTGAAGATCACCCTGCCTTCCTTGTCCCATTGTGCTCCGAGTGTGGTGCCTGTGGAGTTCTCTGGGATGGCTGTTCCCTCCACATCCTGGTGCTTTGGTGACATTTTCAGCCAAGCCCCTTTGCCAGCCTGGCTGTGCTGAGCTCCCAGTACTCTGAGCAGGAAAACTTCCCACTGGAAATCCCTGGCATGGAGCCTTGCCAGCCTGTTTCCAGCTAAATCCAACGGATGGATGTTGTAACAGGCTCTGTGTGTGGATATCTGGTACAGAACAACTGCTATCTGAGCCTTCCACTTCCCACTCCAGTGGGAAGGACCGGCAGGGCCCAGCTGCCAGAAAAATCTGGAAGTAGGTTGAGTTGTTGCCCATTTTAAGGAGCCTCATTCCCTCTTCCTTTGGCCTCCTGGCTGCACTAACCCCCCATGTTGTGCTGCCAGAGGGGTGAAGTGGAGCGCTGGGCTCTGGGAGAAGCATCTGGAGGTGGGATGGACCTGCCCCCGGAAAACTTCACCCAGGACAGGTCCCAACACATCCCAGTTTCCTATAAATCCATTGGTGTGTGATTTTTGGGAGAGCCAGGCCGGTTTTACCTGTCCAGGGTGCCATGGATGGGGTGACACGGCCATGGTCACCTGAAGGGCAGGGACAGCTCCGGAGTGGGAAACACATCTCCCCAGTGCCCCATCCCAGTATTCGCCCAGTGCAACCCTAGTTCAGCCCCAGTGCTGTCCCAGCACAACCATCCCGCAGTGCCAGTATCCAGCCTCCCTGGAGTCCTGGTACCATCCCAATACAGCCCCAGTGCAACCCCACTATGGCTCAGGCTGGTCCCAGTACAGTCCCAGTAAAGCTTCACTGTGGCTCGGACTGGTCCCAGTATGGTTCCAGTACAGCCCCTCTGTGCCTCATATTGGTCCCAGTACAGCCCCAATACAGCCCCGCAGTGTCCCTACTGGTCCCAGTCCAGCCCCGCAGTGTCCCATACTGGTCCCAGCGTGGCCCATACTGGTCCCAGTCGCTCGCCCCCAGCGATCCCCACCGTTCTCGCCCGTGGCCCCGCCCCTGGCTGACACCCGCCGGCGTTTGACGGACAGCTCCCCGCCGCCCTCTGCACCAATCAGCGCCGTGGGCGGGCCCTCCCCGCAGCCGTCCCCGCGGCCGATTGGTGCCCGCACGGCTCCCGCCCAATGGCGTCGGGGCGGGGGCGGGCCCGGGGCGGGGCGTGGCCGCCGCCGTGTCCCGGCATGGCGGAGCGGCCGCGCCGCCGCTGAGGCGCCGCCATGGCCAAGAGCCGCGGGGGCGGCGGGCCCAGCTCGCCCGGCGGCCGCAGCCTGGCGGGCACCCGCGAGAGCCTCGCCGACCCCGGCGGCGACGAGCTCAGCTCGCTCGGCTCCGACTCCGAGATCAACGGCGGCGGCCCCGAGGAGCGGCGCGTCGACAAGTTCGGGTTCATCGTGGGCAGCCGCGGCGCCGAGGGGACGTGAGTGGGGGCTGTGAGGGGGGCCGGGGCCGTGAAGGGCGGGGGGCGAGGGGCGCCGGGGCACGGAGGAGCCGCCCCCGGCCCGGTCCGGCCCGCCCCGGCCGCTCGGCCCCCGCAGGGCTGGGCCTGGGGCTGGGCTGGGCTGGGCCGGGCCCGCCGCGCTCTCCCCGCCCCGGGGGGGTTTGTCCCCGCCACCCCCGGGCTCGGAACGGGGCCCGGGTCGGGCATCGCCCCTGCCCGCAGCAGAGGCCGCGGCAGCCGGGATGTGAACAAGGGAGTGAGGCTGGGAGAGCTGGGAATGATCAGCCTGGGGAAGAGAAGGCTTCAGGGAGACCTTGGAGCCCCTTGCGGGGCCTAAAGGGGCTCCGGGAGAGCTGGAGAGGGACTGGGGACAAGGCATGGAGGGACAGGACACAGGGAATGGCTTCCCACTACCAGAGGGCAGGGAGAGATGGGCTATTGGGAAGGAATTCCTGACTGTGAGGGTGGTGAGACCCTGGCCCAGGTTTCCCAGAGAAGCTGTGGCTGCCCCTGAATCTCTGGAAGTGTCCAAAGCCAGGTTGGACAGGGCTTGGAGCAACCTGGGCTAGTGGAAGGTGTCCCTGCAGATAGGAATGCGATGAGTTTAAGGTCCCTTCCATCCCAAACCATTCCATGATGCTCTGATGATTCCGTGAAGAGCCTCAAAAGCTGCTCCATCTCCTCTAATCTCTCCTGCTCCAGTAAGGGGGAAGGGCTGGGAAGTGCTGTCCATCCCACTCGGGATCCGGGAGGTGCCAGCACACCAGGGTCAGTGTCTAGTCACCTCCGAGTGCTGATCCTTGTGGATTTTTGGGCAGTGTCAAGCCAAGGAGGCCAGGCCATGGTGCCCTCCCAGGGACCCGCTGTCAGTAGCTCTGGTGAAGGCTCTGTGGCCCCGCTCCGGGGAGGAAGCCCTGGAGGAAGTGAGGCTCCCCCAGAGGCGCTGGGCCCCAGGGCGGTGCTGACACCCAGGAATGTGCTGCCGTCAAGCTGGTTCAGCGGCGTATTTGGTGTTTGGTGTTTGCCTTCCTGGCCCTGCTTTCACAGCTACGCCCAGAGAAGGCTGGGGTGACAGCGGGGATGGCGCGTGGCAGCCGCCTCCTCTCCTGCCAGGACATCGCCTGGAGCGGGTCTGGGATCTGCCCCCCGCCGTGCTCTGTGCCCATGCCTTGCTTTCCCTGTCTGTGAGGAGCACAGTGTTCACCCCCACAAGCCTTTGGGTGTTCCTGAGCTGGTCTGTGGGGTGAAAAGACACTCAGAGTTGGATTGTTGTCTCTGGGCAAGGTGCATCGCTCTGGGTGATAAACCTTGTCCCTTGACACCGCAGGATTGGAGTTGCCTCTCCTTCCCAAGGTGCTGTGCTCTGTCCTGGCCCCACACCGCGTTTAGGGGACACTTGTTCTGGCTGTTGTCCCTCTGGCTGTCCCTGGGGTGGGTGTCCCTGTCCCTGGGGTCCAGCAGGCAGCAGGGTGCTGACAGTGTGGTGGCTGCAGTCCCTGGGGACTGAGCCCTGCAGGTGTACTGGGGTCCAATCCTGCCCCGCTCCAGGGCTTGCATCCACTCGCAGATGTCCCAGTAGCAGATGAGCGGGAATACGAGTGGCTGGCAGAGTTGGGGTCCCTCTAGCTGGAAGGGGTAGCACAGGGAGGGCACATGGGGTGTCCCAGCATCTGGGGAGGGTCTGGGGGCACTGGGGAGGGCGATGTCCCCCCCAGCAAGGATGCAGAGGAGCGCATTCCTGGCGTAGGGCATCCCGCCTCTTCCCAGCCTGGGTGCCCTCACCACGTCCTCCCGCCTCGGCCATATGAAACGCAGCTGGTCCTCGCTCTGTGCCCGCTGCCAAGCAGCCATCAGCTGGGAACAGCTTCCAGTCTGGGCTGGCCGGGCTCCAGCAGGCCCACAGCCAGCTCCTGTATCCAGCATCCCGCGCTCCCGAGCTTCCCACGCCTCGCGCAGCCCCGGCTGGAGGCCAGTGCTCCCTCCATCCCCGTGCCGGGCCTGGGGAGGGTGGGGATCCAGGCGAAGCAGATCCCTTGGGAGCGGGTTTGCTCTCAGAACAATCGCCCTCGCCCCGTCCCTGCCACGGCAGTGGGTGGGACGTGGTAGGGAAGGGCTGGGCAGGGAGCAGGGCAGTGCTGCCAGCTGGATGTGGCTCTGGATGTGGCTCTGGAAGCGCTGTGCCGCTCGCTTTCCGGCTCTGAACGTGGAGAGGGATCTGGGAGGAGGCAGGGCCTGCGTGTCCTGCACTGCAGCTGGGTGCTGGAGGATGCTCAGCACCCAGGCCATTGTCCTTGAGTCCTCAGCAAGGATCTGGCTGTTCCTGGGCTTGGTGCAGCCGCAGGGGAGTGTGGAGCAGAGCCTGCGAAGGCATTGGCTCGTTACTGATGGCTTGAAGGAGCTTCTGCTCCTCTTGGATGTCCCTGCCTGGGGCCTGCCCGAGCTGCCTGTGACCTGTCCCTGCACAGAGGTGGTGCCGGGCGGGGGTTGGAGGCCATGGTGCTGGCTTTGGCATCACAGCAGCATCCCCCCTGCCTCTGCAGCGTTAAATTGGATTCCCTGGCTGGGCTGAGTCGTTCTGGAAAACACTCCCCTCCCTCCTGAGGGACCCTGGGCTGGGCTCGGCGCCGGGCTGGAGCGGTGCCAGGCGCTGGGAGCACGGCGTGGCTGGGGCTGTGCGGTGACACGGTGCTTATGGCCCTGGCTGTCTCTGTGTGCAGCCGCGGGGATCCAGCTCGCTCGTGGCTCCGGATGTGCCCCCTGCTCCTCACCTTCCTAGCGTGTCCCTGGGGATGCTGAGGCTCTCGGCGTGTGCAGTGCAGGCTGCTCCCAAGGGGTTTGAGCCGCTGCTCTGGCACGGGGATTTCGCGGGTGACAAGCGCTTCCGGCAGCTGCCAAAACGCCGGTGCTGCCGAGTGTGTCCCGGCCGCTCTCTGAGCCTTGGGAGGTGCAGCCAGCTGGGCATGGAGGTCACCCAGGGTGCTGGGGAGGACAGGAGAGGGCTGGGCACTGCACTGACCAGCCTCTTCCTCCCCATCCCACAGGCTGGAGGAGGTCCCCTTAGAGGTGCTCCGACAACGGGAGTCCAAGTGGCTGGATATGCTCAACAACTGGGACAAATGGATGGCCAAGAAACACAAGAAGGTAAGTGACAGCCATGTCCCCCCCAGGAGGTGTCAGGGAGGGACAGCCAGGCACAGCAGTGTCCCTTCGGGGCAGCCTGGTGTCACTGGGACCCCGCAGACAGACGTCTGGATGCCTGTGGATGATGCTGCTGGCTTGAGTGGGCTGTTTTCTCCCTGTGGAAGTTGGAACTTGGAGGGGCTGAGTGGTCCCCGAGCCAGCCTGCTCCTTCCTCTGACTGTTCCCTGCCGGGCTGGAGCCTTCCTAGGGCTTCTTTGGCTGCCTGCAGGCAGCCATGGGAATTGTTTGCTCATGGAAACTTCTGTTCTGAGCATCTTGTAGACCAAAAAAAGCTCCGTGTAGGAAATGTCTGAGCCTGATGCATGTGACACTGGTCTGTGAGCTGGAGTCCCTGGGAGACTCCTGGTGGGGTGGCTCTGGCTTGGCCCGTTGGTGCTTCCTGACCCCTGAGCCTGTGGATGGGGCAGCAAGTCCTGGGTTGCTGTGCTGCTTCTACCTTCTTCCCCTCACTGGTAGAGCCTCCTGGCACTGCTCCATGTGCCTGGAGCGTTGTCCCCACTCGGTGCCTGGGGAACGACACTGGAATCCCTCATCTGCTTCTTGGCTGCTCTTAAAGGATTTGGGAGAGCTTTCTGGGCCACGGCAGGCAGGGGCTTTGTTCCACGTGCCGTTTCTGCCGCTCTCCGGCCGTGTGCCGCAGGGTGCCCTCCGGATGGGGGGGGTGCTCCGGCAGCCACGCCTGGCAGTGCCTGGGCCGAGCTCCTGCGAGTCTCCATGGGGCTGGTGTGCTGTATAGCCTGTCCTGAAGCAAAAATCCATGCCTGGAGCTTCAGAGAGGCTGCTCTGGAATGCTGCTCTGTGCCTGGAGCCCTGGGGCTGCTCAGGGAAGGCTGCCAGGCTTGGCCTTGGATGCTGTCAACTATCCTTGCTCTGGCAGGAGCCTGCTTGGTGCAGGGCCCTGCTGCTTCAGGGGAGCTCCCTGAGCCTCCAAAAAACCCTGGGACTTTTCTGGCTGCCTCACGGGGGTTGGCAGGCAGCCCGGGGATCCCTTGGGCCAACTCCTGCCGGGCTTGCTCACACCTGCACCACTCCAGCATCCCAAAATGTTCCCTGCCTGGCCCGGATCCCAGCGGAGCCTGACCCCACATCCTTCGTGGCACCGAGCCATGCCAGCACCACGCGCTGGAAGGAGGGCAGATGCGTGGGTGGGCAGCTCCCACTGCTCTGCCAGGGTGAGCAGTGCTCCCACTGCACCTTGCTGTCAGCGTCCCTCAGCCCAGACACGCTCCTGATCCCTGGAAGGGCGCAGTGGGATCGCAGGGAATGGCAGGACCTGTGTGGGATGAGCTGCTCGGCCCCGGCTGTGCTGGGCCTGGTCAGCTGGAGGAGCTGCCGAACCGAAACCTGGCGAGGCCGTTTCCTTCCTGGCAGCTGGGCCAGCAGGAAGGGGAGTGGGCTGGCAACAGGAGCCGGCAGCGGCCACGGAGCTGCCCACGGCAGCGCTGGGCATCGCCCGCTGCGCTTCCTGCCCGGGTAAACAACCAGCGCTGCAGTGAGGGAGCAGCAACCCCCCCGGGGATGTGGTGGTACCACCCTTGGAAACAACCACCTGCTCCCCAGTTACTCCAGCAAACAGGGAAAC